ACAGTCTCTGCCACACAGGATGCCACTGCAACATCCTGTTTAAATGCCTCCAGCAAGGGACAGTCCACCAGCTCCCAGAGAAGCCCATTTCACTGTCTCGCTGCTCTTAGTGGTAGAACATTTCTCCTATTGCTTTGGCTGAAACCTTCTTGCCTGCCCTTTCTTCCCAGTGGTTCTACCCCTGTCCTCCAGAGCAGCACTGGCACCTTCTGCTCATGGATGGAGGCTGCTTGAATGAACACTCCTTCTCGTGGATGAAGACTACTATCCTGTGCCCCCCCGCCCGGCTTCACACCCCGAGCTGCTTCCAGGCCCCTCATCATCCTGGGTCACCATTCTTGTATGTGCTTCCGATTGCCAACGTCACAGAACACAATGCTGCCAATGTAGCCTGACCAGCTCAGGACAAAGTGCAGGAGGCACTTCTCATGCTCTGGACACTGAATACGTCAATGCAGCCGAAGAGTGCATTAGTGGGAGCATCGCGCACTTGATTTTGGCCAAGCGGCTGGGTTCCGCCTGTGATCACCAGCAGGGCCCGGAGCCTTTGCACATGTGCTGCTTTGCCTGGGTGCCTACAGCCCCCCACCCCCCCCCCCCGCAACAAAGCACGCTGATTCCACAGGCAGCTGCCCAAGAGCCGAAAGCCAGCAGTGAGGCAGAATGAGACGGGCTGCTCCACTGAGGGACTTCTGCCCCAGTGTCAATTAATGGCCTGCTGCACCCAAGTCCTTGAGGGGTTTCTGCATCCAGTGCCAAAAGAGCCTGGCCACTTGATGGACATTTCCGTCGGGTCTCAAGCAGCAGCTGGCCTTGGCCAAGCCCAGCCATGGCACTGCCCACTTCTGAGAAGGCAGGCTATCCAGGGGCGAGGGTATCGGGGGCCTGCGTCACCCACCGCATTTCTGTGTGCGCAGCCCTCGGCTCACCTCCTACCAAAGCAGAGGACTGGGCAGAACAGTGGCTCAGGCAGCACGGAAGCAAGTTGGGTGTCTTCTGAGGCTTTTTCATGCCCCGAAAAGCCAGCTGGATGCTCAGGTGAGGCGTGACTTGCTTTTCCTCAGTATGTCTTCAGCAATCACAACTTGGAACATGCGGCCCAAGGCAGGCATGTCACATCACAGCAAGATGCGTGCTTTGGTTTCGGCTGGCTTTTCCAAAAAGAAGAGCCTCCTTGTCCACCACTGTGCCCACAAACTCAACGCTGGACACACTGAAGAAACGGCATGTCGATTCTGTGCTGGGCGGGGGTGCGGAGGGCGAGACGGGTGATCGAAAGAGCACAGAATCCGGCGGCGGAGTGGAGTGAGAGCCAGGCGTGCGTCGCTTTTCCGTATGCTTCATAAATCCATCTGACTGTCTTGTGCGCTGCCTTTGGCGTCAAAAGAAATTTTATATCCTTCTGTCACAAAAGAAATCCATTTCTTTTTATCTCATGCAACCTCCCCACCCAATATCGGCCCCTGTTCACCATGATAATCCCAAATAATCAAAATGTCATTCACACTCTAAGCTGATATAAGCCACATTCATGGTTTTAAAAAATTGGCATCCTGCAAAAATTCTTGGAGGAGTGAGCGTATGGGGTGGGGTGGGGTGGAGTGGGGGCAGGGGAAAAAGAGGGGCAGTTATATTCCTATCTGTCAAATCCCACTGCCCTTTCTTTTTACAATGCAGATGTCAGTTGGGGGGGTAATTCCTGTGGAGTGTCAAAAAGAACAAAGCCATCTTTGAGACTTTTTCAGGCCAAAATTAATTCCAAAGAGGTCAGGGTTTGGGTGTGGGGAATGATGCAGACCAGCAGCTCGCCTGGCTCAAGAGGACAATGAAAGAGAGATGGATGCCTTAAGCTACCTCTCCAAACTTCTACTGATACCAGCCGGGGGGAAGTGAGGGGATTGTGGGGCGGTGGGGGGGCAGGAGGAACGCGCATGACATGGTCTATATGCCCTCAGTGTCGGAAGAATATTTGCTCTTTGGAGTAGCCCCCTGCTACCCAAGTCTCATAAATTAAAGGGATAGGTGCAGGAGAAAGGATCGTTTTCTCAGAGACCAGGTGCTGGGGTTTTGGAAAGCATCAAAGGCATACAGACAGGAAGGCCTGTGATTGCCTAAAGAATGTGCAAGACTTCGTGGGCAAACCACTAACTGCAATGAAAAGGACTCTGGGTGTTCAGGTTTGTTTGTTTTTTGAAATCCCACCATTTCTGCAAAGAGGGTATTCCGGCCTCCGGTTGCCCACCACACCTCTGCTCAGAGGGTCTAACTTCCCCCGCAAGCAGAACCAGGTGAGACACGCTGTTGCCCGAGCTCCACTAACCTCCACAAGGGTGGGGCTGTGCAGCGGGCCACCAGCTCAGCTTGTGATGGGCCCCTAGGCAATTTCGTTCTCTCCTGCTCTCCCTTGCATGAGTCTAGTTGGGTGGGAAGCAGAGTGTTCTTTAGTTATTGCACTATACTGTTTATAGGAGTAAACAGATGTTTACTTGTTCCTGCCAGATGTTTGGACTACAACTCCCATCCCCATAGCTAGCACAGCCAATGGCAAGGGGATGA